GCACAGGAGTGCCAGACACAAATCTGTCTCCACAATAATTCATTCTGTAGCTGAGGTTTCTCCTACTTGAGCACTGGTGATGCTTGGATGGCAGAAATTCAGATTTACCAGCTGCTATTCTTTGAAGGCTGCTTTTCCAGTGATAAATATTTGGGCTGCCCTTCTCAACTGAGTTCTAGTTTGCGGAGGAATTTTAAAGTGATTTTGCACTATTTGGCCAATTAAGTTTAACAGAGACTTGCAAGGAGATTAACTCAGCATTTTGGAACTCATACCATTTGCCACAGTTAAAATTTCTTTAAGCAGCTTAGTGCAACTCTATTTATACTTGCTTATGTTGGAAAAAGAAAGGTCTGGCTCATGATGAGCAAGCATAAAGAGAATACCCTTGGGTTAAAATTTAAATCACGCTTCTTCCAACTTATTGGCTTATCAAGCTCTGATAATATCCCAAAGGTAATTTGATTTTGCTACATACAGGAGATAAACTGATAAATATTCAGTAGTGTGATGATGCTGTATGACAAACTAGGGTTTTCTCTGAATTTCTACAGACCCCTAACAAGCAGATGACATTCCACCTTTTATCACACCCCAACAGGCTGGTGCCTTGTTCCATGCAGAGACAACATTCAACAGCTTTGCTTGCTACAGCTTCCGCTTACTAGGAAGCCAGGTTTCTTCTGACACTGGTGTACTTTTACTGCAGGATTTGACAGGGACCACTCAGAGTGTTGATTACTGTAATTAGAGCCTAAGTCCCTAAAAGTCTTCTTGGTGGCTGTCAAGGAAAGGGGCCCCATCTTGTGGACATTTCCTGGAGCAAGTGTGGCCTGGCTGTGAAGCTGTTAACCACGGTGCTGTTAATGCAGTGCTGAAAACAAGCTGTGGTAACCAGCTGCAGCAGATCTCACCAAAACCAGAGTTATGTCTGGGCTAAGTGCAAAAACGACCTCATTTCCTTCTCTCAAGGCAAACCATCCTCCAGTTTCTGTAGGTATGAGGCATCCTGCCTCAATACAGCTTTTAAAGGACACTACGTGCAAACTCTTTACCCGCTCACTGAAGAACGGCAATGAGAAAAGAGAAGGGTGAGCAGAGATGAGGTCAGGGCATCCACCACCAGTGAGATCAACCAACAAACCCAAGGAACAATTTCTCAGGCAGCCCCAAGGCCATGGCACATGTGTGCACATGCTATGTGCAGCAGGAGAGCCTGGATGCCCTGAATAGCTGGAGACACCCTGTGCCACCCTGATGACCCACCATGTCTCGGTGCCTTTGGAGAAGAGTACAAGCAGGCTTTCATGTCTCTCCTATAAAATCTGTTTACACAATGCACAGCTGCATCCCACACATGCTATCTCACACCCACGACACCTGGATCATAGGGACAAGTGTCACCTGAAGAGGCTCCCCACTGAATGCTATTTTTTAAGAAGATGAATAGCATTTGGGAAAACAGTTTCTATCCCACTTCAAACTGGTTTAAACATCAATAATGCAATCAGCATTTTTCACTTCAGGACAAACTACAGCAGACACTGCTTTTACAGCTCCCTCAAAATGCTATTTTCAAGACCTTCATCACCCTCGTCCCTTGTCTCCTACAAAAAATGACATAGTGTATGGTGCTGCCTTCACAAATCCATGACACTTGGGAGAACTTTTCTGAGTTTATGTAGGCACAGGAGTGGTGCCAAGGGCCTGGAGCTCTCCTTGGCACACATGAAACATTGTGGGACTAGGGCCTCAATATTTGGCAACATAAGATACAGCTGTGGGATAGCATCTGGGGACCCAGAGATACCCTCTGGGGACATGGTAACAGATTTGTACTGAAAGCACCAGGTCAGGTCATCATGGGGATTTTAGGGGTCAGGGGGGTTGGAGGTTGAAGGTGACGTTGGAACTCACCTTGTCCAATCTCTCATGGGCCAGGACGAGACCACACCATTTGAAGTTTCACTCACCCTGAAGGTGTTGAACCTCTGCAAAGAGGGAGATTCTGTCACTTCTCTGGGCAGGTTGCCCTAGAGAAGTTGTGAAACATCTCAGAGCTCCATGGTTCATTAGTGTCTGCTGCCTCCTCACCTTCTGCTGTGCCCTTCCAACACGACCTTCTCTGCACCCATGGAGGGTGAAGATGGAGGGAGCCCCTCAGGCCAAACAACCCCAGCTCTCTCCGCCTGTCTCCACAGGAAAGGTGCTCCAGCCCTCTTACCATCTTGGTGGTCCCAAGGTTATTTTGGCCTACAACCTGCTTCTGATGCCTTCCTTCATTCCTGAGAACCATGAAGGAGGCCATTGGCTAGGTCTAATAACTTATTTATTTGTGTCAACACACTGCCAGCCACCATCTTCCCAGGACAAGTCAGAAGCATTTCAGGACATGTGTGTCCTTTTTGCAGAGAATTAGGCTTGCTTAGTCCTAGGACTGTGATCTAGGCATGTCTGCATGCACCCATTTTTCACTCATCTCAGTCACATTCATCTCCTTTGCCTTTGGAAAACATTCTATTCCTAGTTTGTCTGGAAAACTGGTGTATCCATTTTCTATGCTGTCCCTAAGAATTTAAAAGCAAAAGCTAAAGTGCTTGAATGTAGTGAATCTAAAGGAAGACAAATCTAACATTTCCCTGCATGACTAAGAACTAAGTGCAAGTATTACATAAATAATTAATGTCTTTAGTCCTGACTCTTTGTCATGCACAACAAGCCAGTAAACCAGGCTTATTTACCAGTACTGGAAGAGGAAAAGAGTCTCAATTCCAGCATTTTTTCAATGTCAAATAGCAGCAAGTCACACTGATGATACATGTATTATATTGTACCTTACAGTGTACATTTTAATGTACAGCAGTGACTTTGATTGTGTAATTTTGTCAGTCCTTTAGTTTAAGAGATAACCTCGTGTCATGGATTTCAAGGTCCCCAATACAACTGAAAAGAAAAATGACTGTGTTCACATACTTTAAAATGTCCTTATTTACACACATACACATACACATACACATGCAAAAATCCTTCCTTCTTCTTCCACCTGAAAACTCATTGACTGCAAAGCAGAACCTCAGACTTGGGAAATAAGCAGCAGAGTTTCCCCTATTAGTTAAAGTTCATGGATATAAATATTTTCCGTCTGAAGTGGAGTCACAATATAGTTTTTATGACTGTGGCTCACAATTACCCAGAGATGGCTCACCATCTTCACCAGAGACGAAGGCAGCAAATAGTCTTAAGAGACAGTTCCCTGGCAAAGCAGGGCAAGGCAAGGAAAGGCAACTGCTGCCAAATCCAAGCTTTCACTGTCAGAGTTCTATTCCATAAAGAGACAAGGTTCTCCAGATTTCTTATGGCACAGTAGTGATATTTCTTTACACACCCACACAAGATGATTGCATATGGATCAGACTGTGTCTGGGTGTCTGGGTAATAGAAGGTGCAAGCAGAAGGGTACTGCAATGTCAGCTCTTTTGCAAGCAACAGAGTGCTAGAGTTCCTGCTCATGTCAGAAGGATATAATAATTATCAAAAATCAGGACCTCACACACAGAAATGGCATCTTTCCTGTAATTAAACAAGACCAGCTACTGACATATTGAATAAGGACTCTAAAATATTTAAATGCATTAATTCAGCAGTGAGAGACTGGACACTGCTGGAACTAGGAATGGTAGCTATACTTGTTCGTTTCTATATCTTTTCTGTCTTTGTCTCTTTCTTCTTCTAATTCCCTCTTCTTGGAGTTTAGAATAATTTATAATTAGATGAGTTTGGAGTTTGGTAAGTTGAATAGACAAGTGAATAACACTTTGTGAGATGTTTTATGTTGATAGAATGCTCCTCTAAACCTTTTGCCAAAGTTCTCTGATTTTCTATAGCTGCCAGTGAAGTTGTTTTTTATTATTTTGGCCTCTTGATAATATCTTGTTGGTATTTCTCCCATGCATCTAACTCAGAGTATATAAAAAAGCCCTTTTTGGAGGCTCATCAAGAAAGAATTGTTTAACATAGTCGGTGTGTTGAGGTGTGTGGACAGCCAGCATGCCATGACCATATAGCTACACTGACAGGATAACAATGTGTGAAACTGCCAAACTGCCTGATATCAAAGGGAAAGTCATATTAATGTAGCTAGCTAGCCTTAACTTATGGCAACATTAACGAGGTGATAGGGTGAGATACTGACAGATGTAGAAAATAAAAAGGGCAATCGGTTCCTTAGAGAATCTCTGAGTAAACACTAATTGCCAAGTCATTACTAAGGCAATGAAATTCAAAAAACACACAAGGGCAGAGTATACATGGGGATGCTATATATATATATGTATGTATATATATATATGTATGTGTGTATATATATATATATATATATAAAGTTATTGGGAGGATTTGAAGGTGATAAAGGGGAAGAACTTAAGAGAGGAACAAGGATATAATGTGAAGCAAAAAATATAATCAGGATTGCATTGTTGCATGAGTCCTGTGCCCGATTACCACAATTTCACCATGACATAAAACCCACTGTTTCTGCAGTGTTCATGTCTGGGTTACTTCTGCAGGAGGGACTGTTGATGTTTATCCTTGATGTTGATGAAGGAATACCAGAAATACCCTTCTGAATATTGCCAAGGGAATACCAGGAGGGTGTCACTTAACAACGTCATTTCTTCCTAACTCCATAGTATAGCCAAATGTTTGTTTCATGCGTGGGGAATTCTGCCCATTATAGCTGAGAAAAAGACTTTGTAGGTAATGAAAGAAAATGTCTGTAATGTCTGTAAAAAATGTCTGCAAGCCCAGGCTGCTTCCATGTGAACACCTATGACCACCAATCATCATACCAAAATAAAGCCTGAAATTACTCAAGCAAAGTCATGATGAAGTCATGCTTACTAGCAATGAAAAACAGATAAACACTATCATGAGTATCAAGGTCATAATGTAAAATAATGCAGCAAATAAAAAGCAAGAAAACTTCAAAAGACTTTTTAGTGCCTAATCATCCTTTAGTCTGACTTTTATTTCACAATCTTCTGTAAATATTGTCCAAAATAATTTAAAGATATAAATTAAAGTGTTCCTATTCTAGTTTATGTCAACTTTCAAAATGAGATCATTTTCCCTTGACTGTTTACTTCTTTCAAATTAAATTAATCACTGGTCTTGAAGCCTAGCATTTCTTTCTTCTATTGTCAAACGAACATTTTGATCCAATCAATCATATCCCTTCTAGCTTCTTCAATATAAGGTTTATCATCAGGTTTCATATCTTCTGGCTTCAGTTGTGCAAACCCATGAACTTGCCCAGGATAAACTTTAATTTTGTATGGAACTTTACAGTACTGTTTCAGCTTGTCCTCCAATAAGAAGATCTGTAAAAAAAAGCATTTTTCCATTACATTATGGGGTTTTTTAAGTCTGCCAAATTTGCAGTTTCTCATAGAGAAAATGCCTCTTTGGGTGTAAGACTGATACTTTTTTTTTAAGTATGGGTGAGTCTAAGAACCTCAATAGTTGCAGCAAAGATGGTTTGGTAAATCTCATTGCCATAAAGGAACAGGTGTGTTTCTGTTCAGGCTCAGGCTTGTAACCTGCACTTGAAGCTCTGATCCTGAGAGAGCATGGACCATAAACCTTAGTGACCATCAGTCCAAAACATTTTGATAGGCTTAGTAACAGAGTTTAAGAAAACATGGAGGGCCTTTTTTTTTCTTTTGCTAACTGAACAACAAAAATGCATTGCTCTTGCACAATGTTTCGGTGATTAGTATGCATACAAAGTACTAACAATGTGTTCATGTACCCATATACATTTGCTGGCACAGTTTGTGCTTATTTCCACTAAAAGTCAGAAAATAGAAGAATGAGCACTTATTTTGCCCCAAAAGCTTACTTCCATCCATTGTGAAGATTAGAGAGAATATTGTAATTTATTTCATGGGTTTTTGGTTTCATTTGGGTTTTTTTATGAAGCCCTTTTTTTCAGGTAACGATGTGTTTGAAGGTTGTTTTTTGTTTATTACAGGAATTCTTACTGATACAGTCTGCACTTTCTTTCTGCAGAAAGAAAGCTTCCGGAGAAAAGGGAGTAACACATGACAGAAAAAATGCATTTGCCCAAATTGTGCCCCTGGGAGAAAGGCACGTTTGCCATAAAATGAGGACAGGGGGTGAAGGATTTGTTTTCCTCTGCAGAGGAGAAACATAGGAGGTACAGATTAATATGCTGGCTAATGTAGTTAGAAGTAAATGTTGAATGACTTCTGCATTCCCAGAGCACACTGCCAGTTCCCCAGTCAGACGCTACCCTAAAAAGCAAGCTGTGCTAGAGGTGGTATGTTATCCTTGTCACTGAAGAAAAAGAATTTATGCACAGAAGAGGGCACCAGTTTCCTACCCATATATTTATCCAGCTTCTCACATATGCTTACAGTAGGGGTTATATCAGAACATAGATGGCAGCCAGGAGCCAAAACGTTTGAATCTATGAGTTGTTGTCTCAGCTAAATTTCATGCCCACTCTTTTGATACAGCTCATTTTTTCTTCCTGTAGTAAAAGCAGTTAGTTGTGAGACTAATTCATCAGAAAGTTCAGTTACTAAGCTGAAAATACTTTTTTCCCCCATTCATTGTCCAAATTCAGTGGTTTAGCTACCTGATTTCTCACCCATAACAGTAGCATACAAGTTTTTGAGATGCTTGGCTCATACCAAGTTGGATATCCGTGCCCAGTTTCACACTCTGCTTATCTAGCCACTCAGAGACTGATGGCTGTTCTTTACTGTATTTCTTACCTCAAAAAAGAAGCTTTGAATAACCTAAACAAGATAGAGGGAAAGTTGACATATAAACAGAACCGTCCAACCTGTCTATTATTTGAATGTGAAATAACTAACAAGGATTTAAACAATAACTAACAACCCTTTCTAACAAGGATTTCTGTGTAGGATAAATGAACTATGGGAAAATAAGTATTTCCAGAGCAACAGCTTACCTGATCTAAAGCAATCGTGTGGTCTTTCTCACCAAAAATGAAAAATGTGGGATTTAGTAAACGGTATCTTTCTTCAGAGTCTCTTACTATTCCTGTAATATTTTGAGAAACAGTCCATTAGTGAGGTTAGCATTACTGAGAGATAAATGGCAAATTAAAAGAAAACATTTCTATTTAAGTTTACTCATTAGGTACATTACTTAGATGAGGACACTGGCTATGGAGAATAAGCATTTGGAAAGCATATTTCCCTGCTCTCCTAAAACAAGGAATGAATTTTTTTTTTTTTTGCTTACAGTATCCTTAATATTTTTGTACCAATATAGCTTATGGCTGAAATAACCATAATTAAAATCTGCAACTCACCTTTGAGTTGAGTATTTATAGAAATTGTTCCAAAGCAATAAGTAGAATTACAAACAATGCATAGTCATGTGAACCCAAGTAAGTTTTCATGTGTTCTACACTACCATAGAGGGACACCCCAGCGGCTAATTGAGGATTTTTCAGCATCAAGTGATGTACTGCCATTCCACCCCAGGAAAACCCAACGATACCAATCTTCTTTGCACCGCATTGTTCCTTTAGATACTTCAAGACAACATCAGCTTCCCTAAGACATATAAAGAAAAGTAAACTAAGGAATCTATTGCAGAGCCAATACTTGACAATTTAAGAAGTAAGTTAAAAGACATACATGGTATTTTTTCTGTGGCTGCACCCTCAATCGTTTAAAACAGAGATTACTTTAAAAAGCACATTTCAGGCTAGAGCAGTGGATTTTATTATTAAATGAGAGTTAACATCTCTGGTACTAGTTTAGGGAAGTACAGGTGTAGGCACTTAAATACTTACCTGAATTGTCACCTGCTCCTTTGTTTTCAAAATTAGTAAATTTTTATTTGAATCACTTTGTCTAGGACAGGACAACTAAAGACAAGACATATCTGCAAGTAGAACAACATCTTGCATTATGGACTGTAGGAATAGATAAGCTTCATCTCTACAGAGTTCACCTATTTAGATAAAGATTTTTCCTGTCATTCCTGTTACATGAGTTAATACTAAAATATCTTACCAAACCTACATGCAAGAATGTTATGCTAAAATAGCATTTACTCAAATTACATTGTCAATAACTACAATGTTTAAAAAATAACTTTTGCATGAGGCAATGAAAAAAAAACCATGAAAAATATTTTTATTGTAGGTAAGAACAAGTAATTTTTTTTAAAATTGCTGGCTTCTGAGATCTCAATAATTTTATATTCTTCATTACCTACAGAGTTTTAAATTAAGTTTAAATGCAGAGTTCATAAACTGTTAACTGCATTTTCGAACATTAGGTAGAGTTGTATGGTCATTCAGGTTTGGTTAGGCTGACCAAACAAAATCCAGTACAACAGTGACATGCAGAGGACATTGTGTCCTGGGCCTGTGGCCATGCTCTCTCAGGTTTGGTTTGTTTGAAAGGAAACTAAGAAAGCCATGGATATGTTGGGTTCCATGTTCTCTGAAAGAGCAATGGACCTGGACTGGAATGTTCACCTACAGGTAATCCCTCATGTAAACAGCAAAAGCATGTCCTGAGATCTTAATTTTTTAAGACAGTGCCCACACATCTGCTCTTGTTTGGAGGGGGATTTTTTACAATTGTTAGTAATTTGTGTCTTAAAACATTTGGTCACAGCTTCTGGAGTTATATGGTCAAAATCTTTGCTGAGACACATTGAAGATAGACTGTAGCTGCTGAATATCTGGACAGGGTCAGAAGAATACTTGTGGCTTGCAGGATGGTAGCTGAGTAATAGGGTGTCACCATTGCCTCACTATCATCTGAAGTTTTGAGCTGTGGTGAGAGATGCTGAAGAAACATCAGTGCCTCCCATGATTCAGGGAAGCCTTGTAACAGGCACTGTTAGGTTACACAGATAATGATCCCTCTATTTCACACTGAAAAAAACAGTATAGTTTATCAGATGTTTCTTAGGTTTTGGTCAATCTAGCAAATTTTTATGTAGCGCCACTCAGGAGAATCTCATCAGTATCTATCATAATCTGCAAGGCAGAGAGTAAGATGAGCATGTGACAACTGGCAGATAACATCTGCAGTTGCAGAAGAATTTTCCTCTTTATCTTGAGGAACTGAGTGCAGAATCAGCACTTGTGGGTGAGAGTGCTGGGTATTTTGTAGCCTGTGAAACACTGTGAGCCTGCATGGCCAGTGTAACATAGTCAGAAAAGGGCTCAGGAACACAAGATGGGGACAATAAGCAGAGTGATGGGCAGAGCAGATGATCCTATTCAAATCTCAGACAAGACTGTGCCCAGAACCACAGAAGAATCACCCAGAACAAGAAACTGTGGTTGTGCAGCTAGCTTGCCCTGCTGAGAGGTGCCATTTCTAACATTTCATATAAATTCTCCTTGTTTGCTAGATGCTTCTTAAAGTTCAAGTACAAATATGTATCTTACTTGTCTACTTTCATAGGATCATGATTTTTCAACCAGTCAGGAAAGTCAGCCCAGTGATCAGTAGATGTCCAGGGTTTTGTCCCCTTGAAGAAGTCTGGGCAGATGGTTCTGTGTGAGATATGGAATTCAATAAATTTTCATTAAAACTGTCTAAATGTCTCTTAATATCTTCTAGTACAGAGTACACATCTACATGATCACTGTCTGAATCATGTTTTACTCATCCTATTCTGGTAATCAGCTAGCTAAAAGTATATGTAAAGACAATGTGTATGGACAACAAAGACACAAATTGTTTCCTTATTATCTCCTTAGACACACTTAATACAAAAATAAAGGGATTAAACAAACCTCCTGATTCTATATTAACACATATATACCTCTTTGCTGTTACAAGGCAAAACAAATGTTCAAAAGGTTTGGTTCTGAAAAGCTTATACAAATTAAAATGGATACCACGGTTTCTCTTTGGACCACCCATGTTGCTTCATAAGCACAAACACAGGCGCTTCAAGACTCCTTGTGCCTTTGTGCTCAGCTAGCCATTTTCCTGAGTCAGTTTTAGCATCTTTGGTGGCTCCATGGAAATGTTTTGTCCATTTTCTTTTTTATTTGCTCAGACTGAAGTGGTATGGTTGTCTTATGTCTGTTAGAAACATCATATGCTATGCCTGGCTTTGGGCTTGGTGGTCTATCAGTGCATTTAAGGGGAAGATAAGAAAGAAATTTGCTTACATAAATCCATGACCTGCTATCAAATCAACGATGTATCTAATGTCTGGGAACTGCCATCCAAATACATCATGGACCACAATCACAGCTTTGTCCGTGGAAAAAGATGGTCTACAAACATATGCCTTAAGGTAGTCAATCTGTACTTCATGGCCAAGGCACCCATAGTGAGACCTTTCTCCAGTATTATATAGAAAAGGATCAGCCATTTGAAAACCTAAAAAACAAGAAGAATATAGCAAGAATGTAAAAATAATTTGTTAACAAAAATCATTTAGCACAAAAAGGCAAATATGGTCTTCCGAAAGTAGTTTAATAACTTCTGTAAATAACATTGACGTCCTCGTATGAAGAAAGTAGAAAAAAGCAAAAGCAACGTTCCAGTGAAGAATGCCTCTTCATCTATGATGTTATTAAGCTGAGAATGAAGAGAAATACCAAAATCAAAGTTGTCAAACTACAAACAACCTGGACATGTAGATCTTGACACTCATGTCACATTTGTTTTGCTGCCATGTGGCTCTGTGAGCACAGGTGTGAAGCACTATGGCTTCACATGTCACTGTCTCCTGAGGTATGGGGCCATCCCCCGTGTCTTCATGGGGAATCCTGTGCTGGTTCCTCTATTTGCAAGGAACACAGCACTCAACTGCTGCATTGAAGTGTGGTGTTCAGTGCTTCTCTTGGGGCTGGTGCCTGGGAGCTCCTCTGTAGCACCATCACAGCTCTTCTGAGAGCAGGAGGACTGGGCACAGTTAGTGAAGAGCCGCAGGATGGATTTGTAAACTAGATTCCAATGCCATGTGCCCCTATGCCCTTGAGAGGGATTGCAAGAAAACAAGCTTATGTGCAAGCCTCATTCAGAATATTTGAGAGTATATGGTTTTGTCCTTCCTGCAAAAGTAGCAATTAGAGACAATGAGCCAGTAGATGTGCTAGACAGATTAAAGTCAAAAGTTGTTCTGACTTTCTGTGTCAGGAGCTTGGAATGGACTCTGTGCAAAAAGTAGATTGTGATCCTGTAATTACAAGTGGTGTTACAATGCATCTATACAAGGAATCCAATTAAGTCTGCAGGGGCAGTGATAATAGTAGCACTTCCTAGCCATGTACTGACTTTGTGCTGACTTTGAAACTGTCCTTGGGCGTGCAGTACACAGGCACATACACTATGACTGTCTCCATCATTTCTACATCAACCTGTTATTTTAGTTTGTGTTGTAACATATACTTCATACAACTATCTAATCTTCATGGAAGGGCAGCAAATCCCCTTAAAAATACATGCCTTCCTCAGCCCTCCATTGACTAGAGCAGCAGAGGGCTGTATTTCACAGTGATGGGAAATTTTGCCTGGGCAATGCAGACACATTTGGAACCATGGTATGGACAGACTGAAGAACAGAGAGTTGGTGCCACAAGACTCACCACTTGCTTATGCCCTGCACAACACTTCCCACATTGCATGATTCACTCTGGCACAATAAAAGGATCCATATTTTATATGCATTTAAACTGCTTTATACCCAAATTTTATATGCATTTAAACTTATTAAATGCTCCTCAATGCGTAGTGCAGAGACACTGTTCTTCCCCATCCTCTCCCAAGCCTGGGACTGCTGTCGCCAGATCTGGCAGGGCCTGCACCGAGTTTGAGCAAATATGCTTGATTACAGCCATAACCCTGGCTAATAGGGGTGTAGACATACAGGAACTGGGCAGACATGGCTACACTGCTCTAATCAAGCTCATTCAGATAAATCCACAAGATGGATGATCTCTCATCACCAGTAATCCTCTGTGCTGATAAATGAGAATTGATTACATGTGTAAGTTTCACCCCACCTTTCTCAACATCTGTCAGGCTTGGTTCTAGGAAGCACAAAGTAGCCTAATCTTCAGGATTAAGACCTCCATTGTTTTGGCATTATATAAAAGGGAAGGTGTGTCACATGTGGGAGATTATCTCCTAGTTTAAGTCCCCCCATAATGCTTGAAATGCCTGAAAATGCTTGAGGGAGGTCTGTTCATACAAAAGCGCTTCCTACCTCTCTTTTTCTTAACCTAAGGTGAATGAGCTGGTTGAAGCACAGGAGGCTGCCTGGAGAAGCCACAGGCACTCCCAAAGATAGCTAACGCTGCTGCCTTCTGAGATGGCAGCCACAGTCTTACTCCACTGCGGTATTTTGTTGAGAAGGGCACAACCTGTGTCCCCTTCAAGGAAGTGTTGCTTAGGAGTCACTAAACTCTGCAATAGTTGTGAACCAGCCCACTCCCTATCCATTGGTTGCTTCCCAGAAACCATTTCTTTGGCCTGTGCTGACTGAGGCCAGGCCAGCTGGCTCCTTTCCAGGCACCAGGCAGCAGAGAACGTTAGTAAATAGTCAGCCACACCTGAACTGCTTAGAAGTTTGATGGGATCCTGTTCAGTCAGGAGATTTATTTACTCCCGCCTGCTTTGTCCCACGCAATGTGGTGTGGCAAAGCAGCACGCCAGGATATTTCCTACTTTTCCAGTCTCACCTCATTCCCTCTTCCCACCAATTTCATCCACTACACTTTTCCTTTTCCTGCTTTCCCCATGGCACAGTTCCAAGCCGGCAGCATCTCACCTTTATGCCCCGCTCCGCATCACTGTGCTGCAGCACAGAGGGGATGCAGCGCCTGCTGGGAACAGGGGGAAAAGTTACTGCTGCTCATGGGGAAAACCACAGATATTGATGAGTCTTGTGACATCCTACTGCTCCTTGAGAGAAAGGCTTCTTAGACCTTCTACTTCTGTCCAGTAGTTCTGCCCTTCTTTGGGTTTCTTGATATTCAGCTTTCACACAAGTAACTTAAAAACTGACGAGAGTTATTTACACAACACAAAGGTGGGCTCCACAAAAGGTGGTAGGATAGACCCGAACTACTGCATTTCTGGGAGCAGCAAATCATATAGTTATATTCTGCTGAGTTTTAGTTTTCATCAGGAAAAACAAATCTCTGCTTGAAAAGTGAGGTTAAAAACATTTTAAAAAACAATCAGGTTAAACAGAGGCAAAGATCCTGCTAAGGACAATCTCCACTTCTCAGAAAGTGAGTATGAGCACGTGATCTTAAAGTGCTGTGCTCTTTGGCAGGACCTTGAACTACTGATGCCAAGATGTGACATCTCTGCCCTTTTCCCGGGTTGAGTGATAACATTTTAAGCTACAGCAGCATTTCATTTCAATGCTAAGAGCTCAGTGGACCAAACAATGAAAAGAATGAAAATTTATTACCATAACAGTGAAAAAAATATTATGGTCCTTTAATGTGAACTTGATACTTGATGAACATAAATTATCAGTGTCCTCAGAACTATTGCTGTACCATAGTTTGTAGCAAACACTCAAAATGAAATTTAGACTTTCCCAAAGTTGACAGCCTTTATCTTTATCTTATCTGCCCCTTGATACTTGTCTTTGTGCATTTTTTACTGAAACCAAAATAATAGTCTCTCTTTAAAGGAGTAGGTTTTGCTGATTGTTTCATGCCTTTGCAAAGAGCTACATCTACTTCCTTAACAATTTCAGATTTTCCCTTTCAGCACAGGTAAAAGTAGTTATCCTTTCCTGCTGTCAACTCAGTCTGCATGGACCAGTTTGCCCTCACATACCTGGAGTGCAGGATCCTGTTTCAGCCCAGCTCACTTCTTCTGCTCAGTGAGACACCAGCTAGGTTTCTCTAAACAGAAGAAGAAGAAAACCAGTTCTTGCTGACAGTTTTGCTCCTGGTGTTGCCCATCCAGTTTTCAGGTGCACTTCAACTCTTCTGCAGATTTTGGGACTGGGAAGCGAGGAGGAGAGGCTTCACTCAAGAGTCATCCCGAACGGAAGGGGTGGGGACAGATCATGCACAGAGGCAGTCTGCAGCAGGCTCCACATCAGTTGCCTTTACTCCACCTTTCATTTATTTATTATCTAAGGAGTTGAGAAGGAAAGATGTACCCAAACACTGTAATACACTATGATGTGTGTAATGCAGACAATTAAGACACTGCAAAGGTTTTAGGCTTCAGTATTTATAACTGAGACATTTAGCATCAGTGGTGTGTTTGCTGATGCATCTTCTTGAAGAATATTCATATACTTTCTTGACTATAATAAATGTCATTAATGAAGTTTGAGGTGAATTAAGATGAATCTGTCCTGGCAAACTTGCAGCTTAAAAAACTTACTAAGTCTCCCTAGCACACACATTCAACATACTACAACCACACCCATAAGTATTCTCAACAAGTTGAAAAGTGTTCCAGGTAATTTGTGATTAGACTTGCATTTGACAAGCGAGAAAGATTGGAGTCTGTGGTGCCTCATTGAAATTTTCCATTCCTATTTCCACAACAACACTGTATGCAATGAACATTAACTTAGCCCTTGGTCTGACATACACTCCTTTTCTCTGTGTGTACACGTGGTCTGGGTGTGTGCATGTTGGGGGGGTATGCAAACGAGAGATACAAAGAAAATTATAATAGAATTTCATGACAGAGGTCAGTAAAGAAATTTTTATTCTTGGTGTATATGACAAACAAGTTCCCCAGTCACCCAGCAGATGCCCAGGAATTCTCTGTGAGGTAGGGACCCTAATCTGAGGACTATGTTAAATAGGTGATAGATGGACTCAGTTTGCCAAATTTCAGACATTTACAATGATGATGTCTTCATGTCAGCAAGGTGTCTGACTCCCACAGTGTCATCAATATTTAGAGTATGACTCACACTCCATGGGTGTCTTTTTTTGAATGAAAATAGATAGTCCCCTAGATGACCCAACTAGTGCAATAAGATTGCTGTGCTGAGTGCATAATAAGCCAGGCAAAAGGAGTCCTTCCTCTCTATGCTCTGGCAGCTGCACACAACTCAAAATTAAGGTTTGTCATGACCAGAAAGAGGGTGTTTGTCCTGTTACACCTGTCAGCAGATTTGCACATCAGGATTGTACAAGAAACCATTAAAAAGATTGCTTGTGTTGCAAGGGAGGGAGTGGGGAGACTTGACTGAAAAGATCCAGTTTGCACTTTGATATTAATGGCATCTTGCTTGCCCTTGTGTAACCCCTCCCAGGTGGGTGTCTTGTACTTAGAGCCACAAGACTGAAGTATTGTCTTCCTGCCTTGCCCCCATGGAATGTGGATTCATCCAATCTGCAGTCCCCTGGAACAGACTGGGTCAGCAGAAGCGTGCACCTGATCCCACATGCATCTCATGACTGTAAACCCTGTCCTGGTGCCCAGCCTTGGGGGTGGTTAGGGTAAAAGGAGAGCAAAGGACTCACTCTGCTCTAATGCAAGCCGTTGCCTGCTCATGTTGTTTATGTTTGACCTGCAAACCCTGTATCATTCAGATCTCCCATACTTGATAAGACTTTTTCCCTGTAAGATACAATCACCTATGTAATGGACTCGGGACTATGCAGATCATTGCATCCATGAACTTCCTACAGTCTCAAGGAACTTATGTATTTAATTTTTTATGCCTGCTGTGAACATTTCTATTTTTAGGGTTAAAAAAAAAAGAAAGAAGACACATAACAGAGTTGGAATGAGCACAACAGATTTACTTGTTCAAACACACAATGGTGGAATTTCTCATTCACCTGAGGCACACAGCTGGTTTTTGTCTGGTTTGACTTCTTTTGCTCCTTAAGGCTTGCACCAATACTTTTGCAACTGCTCCTCCTGGTTTTATAGAAAAGGGCATAGAATAAAGCCCAAAAGTTAATCCTCACAGCTGCTGGCTGCAATTTTAGTTGTATGTCAATAAAAGAAACAAGATCCTAGGACATGCAAGGCTGCTGCCCTGAGGCAAAATAGAAAGGTATTCTCTCTGAGATGACTACTGATATCTAAAAACCCAGATAGGCAGGCACTCTGGTGGCATCTAGTGCAGAAGTGAAACACTCAGATGGAGAAACCAATGAGCAGGCTTAAGCATGCCCAATCTACAGTCACCCCATACAGTATTTGGAGTGCTGCTGGTAACAACAGACTCTCCAGGAAGTTGAAATCATTGCAAATGTTGTATTTTATGTTGTGAAAAAACCTGTTCAAAACACCTCGTTTGAGTGACAGGATTGCAGCCTAGAAGCTGCAGATGAGGCAAGAGGGACAGCAGGGCTCCCTCTCGTCTTACACAGTGCCAGCCTGCAGTAGCAGCCTTGTTCAGGGGTTACCCCTGCCCAGGTAACTTGTGAGGAACCGCTGGGGAGGCTCCTGGGAAGGGCCACAGCAGAGGCACAGTGGGATGGAGACAAAATACACCTCTGGGGAGCCAGCTGTAATGCCACTGGTGAGTCTGTACCCAAGGTCTGCCTTCATAACAAGAGAAATCCTTTGGGATCTGGGTCTCTTCAAGAGGAGAGTGTGGAAACTCAGGGCACCGGGAATATTTGTGTCTGCTCTGGGGTATCCTGACCCCCAGGGGAGCACTGACTTTGACCCTCATTCATGGAGAAAGTTCCCTAGACTTCAAGATAGACTACAATCCACAAAAGTATAAAATATAGAGAGTAGTGTAGACATATCACTTAGTGAGAAATTTAGGTTTCGAGATTTTTAGTATGTTGTGGATGGAAGCAAGATGAAAGGCACAGGGCATCGTCCTGGGTTTCTTCTTCGTGCTTCTTCTTCCTTCGTCTTTGTGGGTTTGGCTGGCATTTTGTAATTGGGCAGAGAAGTCCTCATTGTGGGCTCTTTGGGATCAGTTATTTGGTTAAAAGGGAAAATAATCTAAGTGTCAGTTCTTAATTGGATAGTTTAGTCTTAAAAGACCTTGTAACAAGAGATTGTTGGCCATTTTTTTCCTTCTAACGCAAAGCTGCCGAACTCACAGTAGTGAGACTGTTTTACTGAAAAGAAATAATAAACACCTGAGTCCAAACATGAAGTACCATCTCAAGTGCCTTCAATCCAGACCCAGAGAAACCAACAACTAGAACCACCACGGGGGAGCATAGCTATTCCTTCTAATAAAGCTTCACTGTAAGAACGGCCTTTCCAGTGAGCTTGTAATTTGGAGCTCTATTTGATGCTTTTTCTTTTCTGAATGTTAACCCAATTCCCTTCCCTCTATCCAGTAAAGTGGTTTGTATCTAAAGATATCTACTGAGTCATCACGTGGGAGGGAAGAAATATTTTTTAACAAATCTGATTTAATACTCCAGGTTTCTTTCTTGGGTGTCCAGTCAGTGTTTGAAAAAAGACCCTTGGAAATCAGGCCAGCTCTTTTTATTGCAAGTTAAGGCTTGGCAGGAGGTTTACATGTACAGATACTTTCTTTATCATCAGTGAGAACATCTTACACTTACAATTCTGTTCCTTACCATTTACCTAGCTCGGTACTGTGGAGTTGGCAGCTGCCTTTGCCCAGAGCACTATAAAAATTCTCCAAGAAATCATCTGATTTGGTTAGTAGTGAACCATATCCCTGCTCTTTCCCAAGCTTCCCCATGTGTCTAAGAAGAAAGGCTCTGAAGTCTGTCCTCTGTGGGAGTGAGTGACCTTATCTGCTCCATCTGGTGCATCGTTGGCAGGCACCACCGTGTTCCCTGCCCTGATCAGAGCACCCGCTGCTCCTCACAGGGCTCCAGGACCAGGGTGATTGCTGCTTCTGCCCCATAAATCTTCGCATCTCTCACCAGGCTTCCACTCCCTTGTGATTTTATTTGCTGCTAAAAAATAATAGGCTCAATCTGTCATCATCTCTCCTTTTGGCCATCTCCCCATTGCATCCACCCCTTCTTCCTCCTGTTTCACTCTGTTCCATTTATGTAAGTTATTTGAAGCCACTGGTTTCAGTTGGTTTCTGGTTATCCCTTTCAATGTTCCAGGGTTTTTCTGGGGTAGGCTAGGGTCAGCTCTCAAAGCGTACAAGTACTTATCTATCTAAAATCAATATTATGACTTTCACCACAGGATGGTCTGCAAATTATAGTTTTCCGTAGGTATGTTGCTAGTTTGTGACATAGAACTGGTTGACACCACAGCTTCTGGGTTTCTTACGCCTGCCTTGGATTAATTTTTACTTAAAAATAAATTGTTAATGTTTATTCTCAAATTTTCTATTTTTCCTAAAAGTGTTTGTGGGATTACAGAGGGTGTGCATTGTGAACTTTATAGAAATTGGGTGGAGTACTGTAAGTATGCCAAGCAATAACAGGAAATCTATTGTAATGTTGTGGGTGACATGCAAAGAGGGGTATTAAAATCACTTATCACTGGGCAGGTGTTTCTAGGTTATTCAGTTGCTCTTCACTTTATTAAGGAACACTTCCAATGGATTTTCAATACAAAGCAAATTATTCCAAATAATAATAATCTCTATTAATAACAGTGTAGAGGGATAATAGTACATTCTGAAGCAATGGCTCAAAACCAGGTACTCCAGATCAAAAGTGGCATCTGTTTTTCACTGAAGACTAAATGCAGCCATGAGCAAGACAATAGAATTAAGCGTACATGGACAACTGTGTACTGATTGCCTTCTCTAAAAAACTAAACATCTATTTTGTGCATGATTTAAGAATATATCTTTTGTCTTTCTCCTACCAAAAATTTTGTCTTCTCTAAAGTAACAAAAATTTTAAATCCAGTAATTATTAAAAAACACTTCTTTTTTTTTCCAGTTATCCTCCACTCAGAGTACTACTTTCAATGATGAATTAATTCAATGTGTTTAGTCTTTGAAATAGAATTTTATATCCATTATTTTTCTCATAAAAATACATATATTTGATCAGTTTTATTCTAGGGCACAGGTCCTTCATTTTTTTTCCTTCTATTCCTT